TTCTCCCTTCCTCTGAAATCAATAAAAAAAAGTACGCGTTAAAAAGAAAAGGGTGCCAAAACCGGTTTGGCTCAGCGGTAGAGCGTCCGTCTGCAGACTGAAAGGTCCCGGGTTCGATTCTGGTCAAGGGCATGTACATTGGTTGCTGGCACATCACCGGTTGGGGGTGTGCGGGAGGCAGCTGGTCGATGTTTCTCTCTCATCTATGTTTTTAGCTCTCTATCTCTCTCCCTTCCTCTCTGTGAAAAATCAATAAAATATATTTTAAAAATAAATAAAAAGAAAAGGGCCGTGGCCAGTTTGGCTCAGTGGACAGAACATTGGCCTGCGGACTGAAGGGTCCCAGGTTCGATTCTGGGAACCTTGATTTCAGGCACATCCCCCGTGGTGGGTTTGCAGGAGGCAGCTGACCAGTGTTTCTCTCTCATCGATGTTTATAACTATCCCTCTCCCTCCCTCTCTGTAAAAATCAATAAAATATATTTTTAAAAAAGAGAAAAGGGTAAGGAGTCCAGGGGCTCTTTGAGGAGGCTCTTTGGTGACTGGGGGAACTCAGAGAAAAAGAACCCCTTTTATGGGACAGCATCGTGTTGAGAGCTAGGTATCGCTCAAACAACGCTATAGGGATTCTCTCCAGAAATGCTCACCGACAGTCCACGTAGCCCAGCTCTCTCATGAGGACTAAATAACAATGTGGCTTAGCGCGGGGTCCAGGATATAGAAACACGTGCTATATTAGTTGTTATCCCCATTTCGACAATTATTAATAAAAACCAAACACAAACAGAGCCGTGGAGAGTTCGGTGCCCAGACGCAGACACGTTCGGAGTCCAGCTCCCACGTCCCCAAGGTCTCGCCCAGCACACGGAGTCCCCAGTGGGTGAGAAGCACGCGAGGACAGCTGCGGGGACTGGCACAGACCGGCCAGCGGGAGCACTGGGAGCACCGGGAGCGCGCAGCGACAGAGCAGGGCCAGGGAGATAAATGTGGAAACCATCTGCGGAGAGAGAGGCGGGCTCAAGTGGCATTAAGGGGACAGCTGGCTGGGATCAAGGGAAGAAAAGGTCCCGAGGAAAGATAACGTGGCCAGGAGGAGGAGGAGGGGCCTGGGGAATGAGGCTCAAGGTCTCCTTCCAGCGACCTGAGGGCTTAAAAACCTGGATTAGCCGAAACCGGTGTGGCTCAGTGGATAGAGCGTTGGCCTGTGGACTGAAGGTTCGATTCCAGTCAAGGGTATGTACCTTGGTTGCTGGGGATGTGCCCGAGGCAGCTGATCGATGTTTCTCTCTCATCAATGCTTCTCTCTATCCCTCTCTTTTCCTCTCTGTTAAAAAAAAAAAAAAAAAAAAAAAAAATCAATAAAATATATTAAAAAAAACACACACACCTGGATTAGTCTTTCTTTCAAAGTCCTCTGGAGATCTCCCAAGGTGGGGACGGTCCCTTCTGAGGGGATTTACCTACAGAAGTCAGTGTCACACTCTGAAGGCTTTCACCACCTTGCTTGTTAATGGTGGGAGGAGGCACGTTTCCTGTGCCCTAGATTTCACCTCCACGTCCTGAGGTGGTTTGGTGGCACTGTAATCACATAGTTCCGGCGTCATCTGTTCTGTCACGTCCCTCAGAAGTCTGCCATATCGTGCACAGGTGGGCACCACCTGGCGAGGGAGCCTAAATCCAGTTCACCCACATTTGCATCAGCACACTGCGGTCAGAATTTGAATGTTGTGTATCATTTCCTTTGCATAGCCTGCTCGTTTCTTTTTAAAACTCTTACAAAATTGACCCTACTCTACTCACTAGTCCTCACTTTTGACCACTCTCCTAGGTGAACAGACTGGTTTGCTCACCATTTTCCAGACACGCTGTTCACACGGAATGCGTTTGTGATTGGACCACCCCAGCGAATTCTACTTTTGTATTTTTTTTTAAAGGTTTTTCATCCTTGACAGCTTCTTAAACTTTCCGAGCCCGTTTCCTCATCTTTAAAATGAAAACAACAACAAAAAAACAAAAAAGAGGACATCTAACTTGAGTTGCCTGTGTTGAGACCATGCATGTGTTTATGACTGAATTTTCCGGTTTCAGTTCTCTCAGGTGCTGTGTGGTCTTGTGAGGTACATGTGAATGGTCTAGCACAGTGTCCAGGACATAGAAACACTCACCGCATTCGTTGCTATCCCCATTTTAACAATTATTGAGAAAAGCCAAAAAGCAAACACTGAATGGAAACCAGGTCCTCAGCTGGTTTGCCTTAGTGTAGAGAGTGTTGGCCTTCGGACTGAAAGGTCCCAGGTTCGGCTGGGTAGAAGCTGCCTGGGTTGCGGGTTCAATCCTCAGTTGGGGCCGTGCAGGAGGCAGCTGATCCGTGATTCTCTCTCATCATCGATATTTCTCTCTTTCCCCTCTTCCAACTCAATAAAAATATATTAAAAAAAGAAGAAAAACCAGGTTCTGGTTTCTTCCTTACTGACCAGCGGAGAGAGTTGTGCAGTGCCTGGTTCAGACTAAGGGAGACTGTCCTCCTGGGCTGGCAGCCTGGTGAGGGACCCTGGGGCCCAGCTTTCTCAGCTGAGAAGTGAGCATGTTAACAGCACCTGATTAAGAGCTGTGTGAAGATCAGTGATGCTTATCCAGGGGCGGGATTGCTGGCTCAGGACTAAAACATCTTAGTTTCCTTATAGTGGAGATGGGGGACAGCACTATAGCTGATGTCACCATTCCATTCATTAAGATCTAACCCTCACTTACCAAGCAACTTTTTGCTACAGCTTTCCTACTGGGGATGTGCCCGCAACCAAGGTACATGTCTTTGACCGGAATCGAACCCAGGACCCTTCAGTCTGCAGGCAGATGCTCTATCCACTGAGCCAAATGGATTAGGGCCCTACATTTTTCTTAAAAAAAAAAACACAAACAAACAAAAACCAAAAAACAAAACAAACTAATTTCAGAGAGGAAGGGAGAGGGATAGAAACACCAATGATGAGAGAATCACCCACGGCTGGCTGCCTCCTGCACACCCCCAACGGGGACCCAGCCTGTAACCCAGACAAGTGTGCCTAGACCGGGAATCAAACTGTGACCTCCTGGCCCACACTTCTATGCTCAACCACTGAGCCAGGCAGCCCCCTACATATTTCTGATCCCTTCTTCCTCTCCCTCCTTATAGCGATCACCTTAATTCATCTACATGTTTCCTATTTCAGGGGTCTACTAAGTACTTTTCCCTGCCTCTCGGTTTTAATCCTGAAATGAAAAAAACACTTTAGAACCTTTCGCTTGCTCCCAATTTTAACTTTTGACTTATTGGGGGGTCCCATCCATACCTTAAAGTCACCCCAAGTGGTTATACTGAACTTCAGTTCCTTATTCTTGAAATTATCCATCTCTTGGCCCCTTGCTGTTTTTCATAAGCTGGGACCGCTTTTTACACACACTTCTGGAAAGCTCAGCCTTCTCTAACGTTCCTGCCTCCCACAGGCAGGCTGATCTGCCTTCTTCCTCTGCTCTCCATCTCCTCATTGTCTGCTTACTTCTGTTTCCCCTAAAAGACACTGAGGTCTTTGATGGCGCAGCTGTGTGTGGCTCATTCCTTCCTCTGGTTGTCTATCTCCATCACCTGGTACAGTGTTTGCTGAACAAATAAAAGAATGGATTAACTGGTGTCCTTGATTGTTTGCTCACAAACATAAGAACTTGGGTGTAAATAATTATAAGAGAGCCAAAACCCGTTTGGCTCAGTGGATAGAGCGGCGGTCTGCGGACTGAAAGGTCCCAGGTTTGATTTCGGTCAAGGGCATGTACATTGGTTGCGGGTGTATCCCCAGTGGTGGGTGTGCAGGAGGCAGTTGGTAGGTGTTTCTCTCTCATTGACGTTTCTAGCTCTCTATCCCTCTCCCTTCCTCTCTGTAAAAGATCAATAAAATATACTTTAAAAAAGTTATGAGATCGTGGACGGTGCTTACTATATGGTCAGAACCCATACGAACCCATGGAACCAGGCGGACAAGACCAGGGGTGCGTGCCTCCCCAGTCCGATGGGGGCCCATTCCATCTGCCATCTGTATCTGGAGGGCATCCCACGGGGTAGGCATCAGGACCACAACGCGCACTACTCCACGGAGGCAGGGACCTTCGACTTCTCCCTGCTGTCCTTTAGGCTCAGACCAGGGCCTGCCCCGGGAACGAATGCAGCCGGGTCAGAGGCCCAGCATGACAAAGGGAGTTTTCTTGGCCCCTGTCCACAGGGCTCCAGCCTCAGCTCCCGGCTTCCAGAATCCTGGTGACACAGGGTTCCCCCAGAGTTTCCTGCTGGCTCCCTTGGCACGGAGGCTGCCGCTTCCTCCCAGCCCGTCCCCATCCGCCCCGGCGATGCCCTGGCTGCGTTCCCGGCCTCGCCAGGTGGACATCCCCGGCGATGGGCTGTGCATTTGCCTTAACCCCTTCTCCCCGCCGGCCCGCGGGTCTCCCGGGACTCTCTCCACCTCCGCCTCCCTCCAGTGCGTGCACCTGGCCGCGCGGCCGCCCCGCAGACGCCCGCCGCGCCCCCCGAGCCCGGGCGGGGGTCGGCGTCCGCGGACCCGGCCTCCCCCGCGCCGGGGCCGCCCCGCCAGCCTCCTCCCTTCCCTTCCCCGCGAAAGCCGCCCGGGCCTTCCTCCTCCGGGCGGGCGGCGCGATCCCCCCTTTTTAGGGTTTTGCGTCTCCGAAGAGAGCGATCTCCGTTGGGGGGGTAAAGGGGACGAATACAGGGGTTCCCGCAGGACCGTCCGTGAAAGGCCCCCTCGGGCGGGGAAGGCCGGGCGTGCAGGGGGCGCCGTTCGGACCAGGGAGTCCGGCCCCGCCGCCACCCCCGCCCGCGGCGCCCGGCCCGGCCCGGCCCGGCCCCCTCCCCGCGGCGCCGACCTCCCTCCGCCCCCCGCGCCGCCGGCCGCCGGCCGCTCACCGCGCAGGGATCCGGCCGCGCGCCGCCCCTCCCCCGCCGCCTGCCGGGCCGGGCCCTCGCCCGCCGGGTCCCCGGTGCCCGCACCCGCCCAGACGGAGGGCCGGGCGCCGAGGGTCGCTCTTCCCGGCGGGCCCGGCCGCCAGAGGCCCCGGGCGCCGGCGCCCCTCGGGGGACTACTTTCCCTCCGCGGAGGGACTACTTCGCGGAGACGTCGCTGGCGGCGCGCGCGCGCACGCGCACGCGCACGGCTGGCGGCGGCGGCGGCGCGCCTGGGAGAGGGACGCCGGCCCGGTCAGGCCTCGGCGCGGCCTACACGCTCCGTCGCTCGCTCGTTCGCTCCCATCCTCGCCCCGCGCCCGGCCCGGCCATGGCGGAGTCCTCGCCCGCCCGACGCCCGGTGCCCCTCATCGAGTCCGGTAAGGCAACTCCTCCGCCCGCGGGTCCCCGGGCGCCCCGGCCCGCGTCCCTGCCCCGGCCGCCCCTCGCGGCGCGCCCGCTCCTGACCCGACGATTCCCCGTCTCCCCTCAGAGCTGTACTTCCTCATCGCCCGCTACCTGTCGGCCGGCCCGTGTCGGAGAGCCGCCCAGGTGAGCGCGGGCCTCGCGGGCGGCAGCGGCGGCCTGTCCCGGCCCCGCCGCCGCCTGGGGTCGCGGGAGGAGGGCGCGGGGGGACCGGGGCGGACGGGGGGACCGGGCGCGGCCCCCGCCCCTCTAACCGCGCGTGTCTTCGGCTGCAGGTGCTGGTGCAGGAGCTGGAGCAGTACCAGGTCTGTGCATCGCGGCCCCGCCCGCCCCGCGCCCCCGTCCCCCCCACCCCCCGGCCGGCCTAGTTCGGGGTCGCCCGCCGCCCCCGCCCCGCCCCGCCGCCCCGCTCCCGCCGCCCCCGCCCCGGACCCGCACCCGCGTGGTGGTCACTCGTGTGCATCTCGTGTCTTTGCAGCTGCTGCCCAAGAGGCTGGACTGGGAGGGCAACGAGCACAACAGGAGCTACGAGGAATTGGTGAGACTTTTTGACATTGGCGTCCGGGGGCTCCGAGCCGCCGCCCCCCTTTTCGGGGCTCCGGCGCCCCCGGGGGCGGAGGGTCCGAGCCGCGCTCGGCGGCGGGGCGTCTGCGGCAGGTTCTGTTTTGTTTTGGGGCGGCTGTGTTTGTTTTGGGAGGAAGCGGCCCCCCGGGGGCCCCCCCAGGGACGGCGGGGCGGCGGAAGGGGCGACCCGGCGGGCGGTTTGCGGCGGGGCGGGCCCCCAGGTGTGCGGCCGGCGGGGGGCGGCGGGGGCGCGCGTGCGCGCGGGGGCGCCCCCGCCTCCCAGCGAGCTGCTCCGGCCCGTCCGTCTTCTCGCCCAGACTGGTAACTGCGGCGCTGATTGGTCCTCTTCCCCGGGCCCCGCCCACGCCCCTGGGCCCCGCCCACATCTCAGACCACTTGTTCCCCAGGAATAGCGAGAGCCTTGTGCGTCTGAAAAGGTGGAGAGGAACGTTCCTGTTTAGCTTTTTTTTTTTTTTTCCTCCTTCTTTTACCCCCTCATCGTAATAAAACTATAAATATTGGTGCTATTGAGGATATGAAACGCCTCCATCAGTTTTGCTGCTCTCAACTGTACACTTGTTGAATGCCGTAAAAAAAAAAAAAGATTAATTTTGATGAGTTTTTAGTCATCTGCTGGACATATTGTAGGTTGTAACTGCAGTTTCTGTTTTGGGAGCACCGTTAACATAGGTCGTAGCTCTCTCTTTGTTATACTTTGTCAGCTTAACTTGGTGGCCATCACAGTATTCCACTATAGGTTTTACCCATTCGTTTGTCCGTAGTGGTAAACATTTTCCGGAAAAAAAGTTTTTGTCAATTTGTGCATTTTAGGGCAAAGGATTTCTTTAGTTGCTGGGCCGTATTCAGCGTCTTGTATTTGCATAATATCTAAATAAAGGGTTCTTGCATAATCTTTTACCACATTTCTAATACGTGTAAGCAGAAGTTGTAGGACACGGTTTTCATTCCTGAGTTAAATAAAAAGGAGAAAAACTAAAGGGGATTTGTCACCTCTTTATGACCATTTACATTTTAACACAAAGTAACAAAGGGATTTTATTTCAGTTGCCAGTTTTAATGTTTGTCTTACTAGAGGTTTTTTGTTTTGAATATTAAAAAGCAAATATTTTCAAGAAAGTGAGTTCTGAAAATTCAGCATGATAGTAGAGTTTTTGTTTTATTGCGTTGGATATTTTGAGATTTGTTTTTAATGTAAGGAAATGTGTAAAGGACTGGTGTGGAGTCTTGTGGGTAAGAGATAATAGTGTTTCCAGTGAAGCATACAGTGTTGAGGTGACTGACAGTAAAGATGCTGCCAAATAGAAAGTTGTCTAAAATTTGAAGCAAGTGTAATGAATACTTACTGGAAATAGACATATTTTAACAGGCATATACATTTAGGCTTTTCTGTCAGAATTGCTTAAAACTCTTCTTACCATTTTGCTTGCGATTATTGAAAGTCTCTGATATACTGCAGTGATGTGACTGCGACATTTATTGCTCATTGCCTGCTGATTTGGTCTGTCTGGTGGGTATCCTCTTCCTCCTCTACCTTCCTCTCCCCCACCCCGTACAGCACTCAGTAGAACAGGATGAGCTTCCTCTGGAGAATTGTTTTGTTAAAGGTATGTGAGTAGCTTCTAGTTCTCCAGTGAAAGTCGTCTTTTAAAAAAGTTTTAAGAAGTATTTCCAATATATATGTAATGAATCCTCATTTACCATAAACAAATTCATTACTGGTTTGCTAAATTTATTTTGGGTTCTATTTGAGGTATATTATTATAAGCTATCAAATTTTCAAATAGAAAAAATAGAATAACAGATCATCCACTAGCCTTAGAGAGAGTGAGGAAGGAGAAAGAAAAAAAAGAAATGTTTACCAAAACCGGTTTAGCTCAATGGATAGAGCATCGGCTTGGGGACTGAAGGGACCCGGGTTCGATTCCGGTCAAGGGCATGTACCTTGGTTGCGGGCATATCCCCAGTAGGGGGTGTGCAAGAGGCAACTGATCAGTGACTCTCTCTCATCGATGTTTCTAACTCTATCTCTCTCCCTTCCTCTCTGTACAAAATCAATAAAATATATTAAAAGAAAAAAGAAAAAGTTCATCATTTGTTGCACTTATTTATGTGCTAGAGGCCCAGTGCACAAAATTCATGCACTGGGCAGGGGTGGGGTGGGCAGGGGAAGGTCTCCCTCAGCCTGGCCTGCACCCTCTCCCAGGCAGGGACCCCTCGGGGGGTGTCCGAATGCCGGCTTGTGGCTGGATGGCCTTCTGCTGCCGCACATGTTTCAGCAGCTGCTGCACATGTACTGCCTGGGCCACCATGGTTTGTCCTGTAAACACCATCGAGTGGGTGAGTCAAGCATGGAGGTAGGCTCATGCTGACTTCCTTGCGCTTACCTGAGTCACTGAGTTGTTCAGACTGACTGCCTTCTTCAGAGAATGGCTCTGGGATCAGGCCTAAGCTGGCAGTTGGACATCCTTCTCGCAGCACGGGAATCCTCAGGAGGTGTAGCAGTGTGCCAAGTGGCAGGTGGCCAGGGTGGAGCCTGAATCGGGCCGGGTGTCGTGCCACTTGGGTTCATCCCTGCCTGTGGTCGCTGCTTGGTAGTGCTGCTGCTCCTGCTGTGGCAACTGGGCTCACCAGCCATAAGCCCGGCTTCTGGCTGAGCAGGGCTCCTCATGTCGGAGCTCACTGACCACCAGGGGGCAGCTCCTGCATTGAGGTGGTCAGTGTGCATCATAGCGACTGGTCGTTCTGCCATAAGCCACTTAGGCTTTTATTATATAGATTCATTGGTTGATTCTTCTGTGTGTCCTCTCTGGGGATTGAACTCGAAAGCTGGGATGATGCTCTAACCAACTGAGATACCTGGCCAGGGTCTACCCTTTTTCATTTTTTTACTTTTTTTTATTTTTTATTTTATTTTTTTTAAATATTTCTATTGATTTTGGAGAGGCAGAGAGGAGAGAGAAACATCATTGAGGAGAGAGAATCAATGATCAGCTGCTTCCTGCAAACCCCCTATTGGGGATTGAGCCTGCAACCTGGGCATGTGCCTTTGACTGGAATCAAACCCGGGATCCTTCAGTCCGCAGGCCCACTCTCTGTACACTGAGCCAAACCAGCTAGGGCTACTCTGTTTCTTTTAACTTAAAAAAAGTTATATTTAAAAGACTGAATTGAGTTGGGTTATTGTAGAAAAAACATTTTTAATTGGAAAATTGTTAGCTGGAATTCTTGGAGAGGAAGAAGCTATTGTCACCCTTATGCCCTTTGAGCTATTATATTTTACTTTCACCTGTTTAAAAATTTTCCAGATGCTATTGCTATTGTTTTATTAATTTTGTTCTTCTCACCTGAGGATATTTTTTCCAGTTGATTTTTAGAGAGAGTGGTAGGGAGGGGGAGAGACAAGAGAGAGAAACATGATGTGTTGACACATTGATTGGTTGCCTCCGGCAAGTGCCTGAGCCTGCAACTGAGATACAGGCCCTTGATAGGAGTCACACCTAGGAGCCTTCAGCCCTCCGGCAGATTCTCAGTCCCACTGACCCAAACTGGTAGTGCCTGCTAGTGTTTTAAAGTCAATATTCATTTGCTTGCTCATCTGTATACCTTTTTTGATGTTTTAAATTCCTTTTCATGTGTCTTATCTGATTATTTTTCTTCACTGTGAACAACCTATTTTGTTATAATGATTTTTTTGTCAATTACTTCAGTTTTCCTTTTTCTTATTTTTTTTTAATTTGAAAACGTTTTGTCTGTATTTATGAAAACATGTTTTCTTTTTCTAATCTTCACCTGAGGATATGCTTTTATTGATGAGAGAGAGAGAGAGAGAGAGAGAGAGAGAGAGAGAGAGAGAAAGAAAGAAAGAAAGAGAGAACACACACACACATTGGTGAGAGAGAGAAACATTGACCAGTCGACTCCCGTACATGCCCGCCCTGACCAGGGATTGAACCTGCAACCTAGCTTATATGCTCTGGTTGGGAATTGACCCCTTGGCCTTTTGGTGCATGGGATGATACTCCAACCAGCTGAGCCATCTGGCTAGGTCTCTCTTTTTCCCCTCTAATTTAATTTTAAAAGTATTTTTATTGATTTTTAGAAAGGAACGGAGAGAGTGAGAGAAAAACAATGGTGTGAGAGCAAAACATCTATTGGCTGCCTCCTGCATGCCCCCCATTGAGTCAAGCCTGCAACCCCAGCATGTGTTTGGCCAGGAATCGAACCAGCAGCTGTTCAGTGCAAGGGAGGACACCAGCTGGGCCGCGCTGGCTGGGCTCTTTTTGTTTTTTTGTTTTAAGAAGTCTTTGTTAGCTGTGACATTCTAGTTGATTAGCTGTTGCTTTTTGAAAAGCCATCCTTCTTACTGTTGTTCCTTTGAAGATACTGTTTTCCTCTGCTTATGAAGATTTTCATTTTGCCTTGGATTTTCAGCAGTTTTACTATGATGTACTGCAGTCATTATCTAGGGCTGCATAACAAATCACCCCAAAACTTGGTGGCTCTAAACAATACAAATTTATTATCTTTCAGTTTCCGTAAGTCAGGAGTCCAGGCACAGCTGAGCTGTTTGTTATCTTAGTCTCTCTCAAGGCTGCTATCAAAGTATTGGTTAGAGCTGAAAGCTTGACTGGGGAAGGCACTGATTCCAAGTTCAGGTAGTTTAAAAAAAATCTATAATAATAAAAGCATAAAGTGCTAATTAGACTGGACATCCAGCCCACCTTTCAGATGAAGCTAGGACTTTGAGGGAAGCCTAGGTCCTGGGTGCCAGAGGGAAGCCGGTGCTGACAGCTGGGGGAAGGAAGGCCTACTCATGCACAGATTTCGTGTATCGGGACTCTTAATATATATGTGTATGTGTATATGTATATATATATTTTCATTGATTTCAGAGAGGAAGGGAGAGAGAGAGAAACATCAATGAAGAGAGAAAATAATCAATTGCTGCCTGCT